TGCCAGCGATGTGGAATTCATAGGGTACCTTTAGCAGCACCTGTTGTGTTGATAGTTCAAATGGAGTGGTCTACTACCTGAAGAATCTCTGGAACAGTTCTGAAGCGAATGCCACAAAGTGGTTCCTTCATCTTAGGAATCAAGTTGAAGTCACAAGGGCATAAGTCTGGGGAGTATGGTGGATGGTACAGCACTTCCCAGCCCCATCGATTGAACAAATCAGCCACAGCTTGTGCTGCATGCGGCCAAGCATTGCCCTGCAAAAGATGGGTGGGTTCTGCAGAAAGTGTCGCCGCTTCTTTCTCAAAGCTGGTCGCAGGTTTTGTTCCAGAAATGAACAGTAATACTGCGCATTGATGATCTGCTGTCGGGGAAAGGTATGCATTAGAATAACACCATCACAGTTGTACACGAGAATCACCATAACTTTTGATTTTTGTTGTGACCTGTAATGATGGTGTTCATTCAATTGGCATTTCATTTGTGGCTCATACGATTTGGCCCGTGTCTCATCCAGCGTAATGATACGGCATAAGAAAGCCTGTCCTTCGCGCTCATAGCGCTCCAAGTGGTTACGAGCCATTTCTGCATTTCCATCCTGGCTGATGCATGTCTGCGACATTTTGGCATCCCTTGTTGAAGGCTTTTACCGCCGGAAGCCTCTTGAAGACCTTTATGACACTGTATGGCCTCTGGCACGTTCAATCTTTATCCAACTCCATTGTTCCTGTTTTGAAAACATCCTGGCAACACTACATAGACTGCCAGCTAACACGAGGCTCTGTTCTTCTCGTCATTGCGCATGCGCGTGATATGGGAAGGGAGAGTCCATTTGCTCTGAGGTAAGGTAGGTATGTAACTAACGTGTGGTATAAGTGACATTATTTGGGTCCGTTGCATGGCGTCTCTACAGCAGTGTTGCCACTATTAAAGTTCCAACCCTCGTACAATGTACAGATTAACTCAGATTGCTTAAGCTAATGTTTCCTTGTTGCTCACTTTCAATCTTGCTTGTAAATAATGTTTTTTACTGTTGTCACACCATATGTGTATATATACTTGATCCTTGTTTATGGGAGTTAACTGGTTTGAATAATGGATTTAGCACAAGCTGTCCCAAAAATGAACTGAGTCCTACTGAGTCCTAATTACAAATCTAGATACATGTACATGCCCTGGAGTGTTATTATCTTTCATACTGAGTTTTTAATGGATTCCTTCAGGCCCTTAAGGCAGGAGACTCCAGTTCATTCGAGCTCTGAACAGGTTGGTGTAACAGGTGTACATTAGATTTATATTCAGTAAGCACCTGGTTTGAGTCTTGAGAGATTACTGTCTATCCTGGCTAGGTTATCCATGGTTTTCCTTGGTGTCTCCATGTGAACAAAATGGGTGGACAGTAGATATGATGATGCCATATCTATTGCTGCTGGTATTTAGCACTGAATAATATGAGAGAATGATCACATTTAGTGAACATGAAAGGATTAGGGAGGAAATGGTTGTTTCATATTTCAAGGTATTACTGTTGTAACATGTTATATGTCGCCCATTGCTGAGCAATGAAAACAATAGAAATTGTTGAGTTCCCACAGTGACAAATCAAATACCAAGAAACCATTGTCTACGACAAACTGTGACAACGATTTATTGACACAAATAATGCATTCCCATGATAACGAGCACAGAACACGTGAAATCAAACCCTGGATGATGGTGCGTTCTATCCCATTCGAAACCAGGTTATAATAGTCCAGTTCGAAAGAGTTAGTTAGTTGGATTGAGTGAATGGAATCGCATAAGCAGTAAAAATGATACTAATTGTACTTGAGTGAGTAAAAGTGAGCGTTCAATAAACTTATTCGCTAAATCTGAGACCTACGTGGAAGTTATTCGCCACATTACATAGGAACACGCGACACTATTTTGTTATTACAAATATGTTTTTGGACATTATCCATCATCATGTCTCTATCTAAAAGCTGTCCTTTTAATTTTTCAAAACAATATTTTGGAGACTGGATTTTTATCTCTGTCTTCAGGCAAAACTTAGTCATTTGGGGCCAACTGATAGAGCTAGTCCCTATCTCTGGAGATCGACAGATAGAAATACATACAACTGAACCATTAGTACATGATCCAAGTCCTTTTGAGGTAGAAATTGCTTTTGCAAAATTGGAAAGTTTTAAATCACCAAGTAGTGATCAAATTCCTGCAGAACTGATTCAAGCAGGAGGTGAAACATTATGGTCTGAGATGCATTAACTTATAAAATCTATTTGGAATAAGGAAGAAATGCCTGATGAGTGGAAGTAGTCTATTATTGTACCAATTTACAAGAAGGGCAATAAAACTGACTTGTAATTATCTTGGGATAACGCTGTTATCAATTTCATACAAAATATTATTGAATATCTTCTCAAGATGAAGTTCATGTATAGATGAAATTATTTGGGATTATCAGTGTGTTTTTCAACATAACAGATCAACTACTGCTCAGATTGTTTGCCACTGTCAGATCTGCTACTCATAGTCTTCAAGAAAGCCTGTGATTCAGATAGAAGTATTGTACAATATTCTCATATAGTTTGTGGTATTTATAATAGAAGTTAGGCTGAGTAAAATGTGTTTAAATGAACCCTGTAATGAAGCCCATACAGGTAAACATTTGTCTGATAAGTTTCCTATCCAAAGTGGTCCAAATGAAGGAGATGCTTTATTGCCATTGCTTTACAACTTTGCTTTAGAGTATGCCAGTAGGAAGGTACAGGAAAACCAGGTGAGACTGAAATCAAATGGGACACATTCACTACTGATCTGTGCTGCTGATGTGAATCTGTTGGGGGATAACACAAAGACCATAAAGAAAAACACAGAAACTTTAACTGATGGTAGTCATTTGGTTGATCAAGAGGTAAATGCAGAGAAAACTTAAAACTTTGAAAGTGTGGCACAGTTAAGATATTTGGGAATGATAGTAACATATCAGAAAGGCACAATAGATCACAGTGGTCGCAGTGCAAGGGCCAAGAAGGCCCACCCCTTATACATTCATTCATTCATTCAACATATCAAAACCTGATTCAGGAGGTAATTAAGAGGAGACTGAATTCGGGTAATGCTTGCTACCATTCAGTCAAGACCCTTTCATCTTCTTGTCTGCTATATAAAAACGTAAAAATTAGAATATACAAAACTATAATGTTGACTGTGGTTTTATATGGGTGTGAAACTTGGTCTCTGATATTAAGGGAGGAGCTTAGACTATGGATGTTTGAGAATAAGGGGCTGAGGAGAATATTTGGATTGAAGAGATATGAAGTGACAGGAGGTTGGAGAAAACTGCCTAATGAGGAGCTTCATAACTTGTACTCTTCTCCAAGTGTAATTAGATTGATGAAGTCAAGGAGGATAAGATGGACAGGACATGTGGCATGAATGAGGTAGGAGTGCATATGGGGTATTGGTTTGAAAGCCAGAAGGAAAGAGACCAGTAGGAAGATGAAGACATCAGTGGGTGTATAATATTAAAATGGATCTTAGAGATATAGGATGTAGTGGTATGGACTGGATTGATCTGACACAGGATAGGGACCAGTAGAAGGCTCTTGTGAACATGGTATTGAACCGTCAGGTTCCATGAACTGTTGGGATATTATTGAGTAGCTGCACAACTTGCAGCTTCTCAAGAAGGGCTCAGTTTAATTGAGTTAGTTAGCTTAGTTAATTAGTTAATATAGTGTTGGTAAATAGCCTTGGAACCCTAGCTATGTACAAAACTGAGAACAACATGAGCAGCACAGTCTGTAATGAACTGGTCCTTTAAGGTATGCGAAAGTTTTGAGGTTTCATGGCAATGGCTCATATTGTGGTCTTCTGGGTTGTGTCATTGTGTAGTCTTAGGACGATGACACACGGAGCGGTTTTCACTGAGTCGGCCGCAGCCAGGCGATGACACACAGAGCGGTTTTCCCTGACTCGGCTGCCAAGTCGGCTGCAGCCTTGTGACAAAATACACGATGCTGCACGTCGATTTGAATGCCAAGTGCAACATATGGTGTGGGAGGTAGCATTACACAGATGGATCTTCATGAGGAACGTATAATACGTCTGTCACTGATTTACTTACGATGGAGGTGGAGAAGGAAACATCGGAGAATATGGATTCACCCAGTTATGAGAGATAGACTTCAAAAGGTCTATTTTACACTTTATTTAGTCAGCCATGACAAGATGAAGATAAATTTTATGATTTCGTTGTAGTTTCATATGTCAAAAACTAGGCAAGTCCCCTAGTGAAACTTTTGGCATATGAAGAATTGGCTGTCACTACATGACAATGCCCCTAAACATTGCTGTGTTCTTGTCCAAGGGGAACTGGCAAGGCAACATATCATCATTTGCCACACCCTCCGCATTCACCTCACCTCACACCATGCGATTTCTTTCTCTTCACCACTTGAAAGCAAAGCTATGTGGTCGTAGATTTCAGTCATCCGAGAAGGTCATCAGTGCCACAAGAGATGCCGTATGGGAATTTCCTGCCAATATATTTCAGCAGTGCTTTTGACAGCTATATCAACTTTGGCAGACTTGCTTATCAGCCATCAGCAACTATTTTGAGAACCCATGTGGATCTGTCTAAGTATATGTGAATACCTTGTGATATGATGTGATAAAAACCACAGTCCACGAACTTAATGACTACCATGTAAATATCTCCTATTATTGTTTAGAAAGGAAAAAAGAAAGTGTATAATCTTGTGATTCACTGTCCCAGCTTTGTTTTCCAGATAAGAGTTTAAATAGCTGGCCATGGATTTGCTGTTATGAATATTTCTTGTAATGTAACACTACATATTTGTATTTACCTGGGCTGGGAATTGTTAATCACTTGCATGAAAAACATATCATTTTGATATTATTTTTCACTTCTGTAAGACAGAATAATAAATTTATGACATGCTACTTTCATTTACCATTTCTCACTGTTTTGCCAGCTGCCAGAATTGATATTTCTGAAAGAGAGATGTGAAGATGCTGATCCTGTTATAAATATCACAGCTTGTCAGGGAGTTATAACTCTTGTTGAAACTGGTGTACTGGCAGTGATACCTACTCTGTCTGGCTTCATAGCAGCACTTCCCACAGTCAGGTTTGTATTATGATCTTAGACCAAGATAGATTTTATGTGTGTGTTTTCACAATTTAGGGCTCTGACTCTAGATGGGTTTTGGATTGATGACCAGATTTATTGCACACGTATACAACTCATTACTGCACTTTGCAAATCACTATATGACACGCTGTGATCTTCTCCATGTGTTAAAGTCTTTATTTATTTATTTCGTCTCTATAGATCATTGTTACATGATATAGGACAAATCAGTTACTGTACATTGGCTGATTACAATAAGAGAATAAAGTTACAATACTTAAAATTGTTTGCAGTAGAATACAGTAGATTACAATAGTTAAGATTTCATATAGTGTGAGGTGGAATCCACATTAGGTCCCTCGACATGTCGGCTTCCATATGTCCTATTGTACCTATACTGGTGATAATGCGTATGGAGAATTTGATGGAATGAGGATTGGCAGGGGAAATCGAAGTACTCGGGGAAAACCTGCCCCAGCGCCACTTTGTCCATCACAAATCCCACTTGACTAGACCGCAGCGGTGGATAGCCAGCGACTAACCGCTTAAGCTATGGCACCGCCTTTGAGATAATATTTGTGAATTTGGTGATAGCACTGGTATAATGTTTCACTGTAGACTCTACACTGCAACATCTCACTACATCTGTTCTCCCTTCCTGGTGCAGCTTCTTGGTATCTGCATCTCTCCAGGGTAGCCCATTCAGGTACATCTTCGACTGTGTTATCTTAGTTGCTAGAAGAAAGAAAGGAACACTGCGCAGTAGGGATTCCCAAAACCGATTATTCATGAATTATGTGATTATAATTGACTAGTGTTTGTCTCACACAAGAGAAACTCATCCACTTTATAAAAACAATGATCCAGTAGGTAAGTTTTCAAAGCGTTTTTGAACTTATATTGTACCGGAATTTCTTTAATATATCGTGGCTGATGATTTAGCAGTCGAAGTCCTCCATTGTTAAAATTATTCTTGCATAGACTTATATTACATGGGGCAATGTGCAAGTCATCTTTTTTCCTTGTGTTGTATGAGTGTAATCCTGAGTTGGTTGTGAAATCATTCGAATTGGATTTTATGTATATTAGAGTTTCATATACTAGGTGGTTCAAATATGACCGGGACTAATTTTTTTTGTAAACAAGCCGCACTGCGCAGCAGCTGTGCGACCTGAGAGAGTGAAGCCACAACCTCCACCCTCCCTCCTGTTCGGGTTAGAACCTGTTCAGTCCTTTCTGGAAGTTGCTAGAGTGATGAGTGAACAGAAGGTACCGTGGAGTGTGGAACAACGCATTTTGATCAAATTCCTCGGAGAAAACGTCCCGTCCGATGAAATTCACCACAGACTCAAACAACAGTATGGGGAAGAGTGTCTCTCATGGACCCGTGTGTTTGAGTGGTGTAAGTGCTTCAGAGAGGGCAGAGAGCGCATGGAGAATGAACCGCATGATCGTGCAGACACACTTATTCGTGAGAATAGGTGCATCACTATCAAGGAACTTGGAGCAATGCTGTCCATCAGTGTTGGTAGTGTAGAAGACATCCTGCACTATCGCAAGGCAAATGCACGGTGGGTACCACACACTTTGACGGACGTGAACAAAATGGTGCGCATGCAAGTTGCCAGTCATCTCCTACAGCAGTTTGAAGACGAAGGTGGTGCATTTTTGAAGTCTGTAGTGACCACCAATGAAATGTGGGTGCACTACTTCATTCCCGAGTCCCAGCAATCATCATGCGAGTGGCAGCATACCAGTTCTCCCAAACCCAGAGAGCGTGGAGGAGCTGTTCGGCAGGAAAAGTGATGGCAACGTTCTTCTGGAACTGGCAGGGGGTTATCCATGTAGACTTTCTGACAGATGCCAGAACAGTCAATGCAGCTTATTACTCAGACCTCCTGGCAACAGACATGAAGGAAAAGATCCGATCCAAGTGGAAGTGATGTGGAAAGCAGGTAGCCTTCCTTCAAGACAATGCACACCCCCATACGGCCAAAACAACAATGGAAACCATCCGGAAATTGAAGTGGAACCTTCTGACACATGCACCGTACAGTTGCGATTTGGCCCTAAGTGATTTCTACCTGTTCGGAAGGCTCAAATCAGACTTGCAAGGCATGCGGTTTGTGGACAATGACGCCGTCATCCAGACTGTTCGGGAGTGGATACGCCACCAACCACAAGCCTTTTTTGAAAAGGTCATCGGGATGCTTCCAGTACGTTGGAAAAAATGTGTTACTCCAGACGAGAGTATGTTGAAGACTGACATGTGCAAGCAAGTGTTTGGCAATTATGATTTTTAAAAAAAATCAGTCCCGGTCATATTTGAACCACCTTTTATGTACAAAGATGGTGGAGGTAATATATGTAATGATTTGAAAATTTGTTTACAACTAGTCATATTTGGGACCTGGGTCATAGCTCTTATAGCTCTCTTCTGTAATTTAAAGATCAATTTTGCATTTACCGAGTTGCCCCAAAATATCAGTCCATATGATAACAAAGATTGGAAATGAGCATAATATAACGCGCGGACAGCCTCTAGTCCAGTCACTCTTTTAACTACCCTTAGGCCAAAACATACTTTACATAAGTTGTTCGCTAGCATTTGCGTATGCATAGTACATCTTAGATGCTTATCTAGCCAGACTCCCAGAAATTTTGAGTGATCTGTGTAGTTGATGACAGTGTCATAAAGCTTTATTGGAGGGCATTCAAGTTGTAGTTTTTGAGGATGATGGAAGGCTATTGCTACTGTTTTCTCTTTATTAATAGTTAATCGATTCTTCTCAAACCACTCTGTGATTTTATTTATTGTTTCATTTGTTTTCCTTTGAATTTCATTAGCGCTATTTCCTGCTATAAAAATGCTAGTATCATCAGCAAAGAACGTAGGTTTCCCATGTTCTGTGCTGGCCTCCGGGTCGTTTATGTATAACAGAAACAACACTGGTCCCAGAACGGAACCTTGTGGGATGCCATAGCTGATGGGTCTCTTTCGGGATAGGTAATTAATGTTACGATTAGTTTTTTGCATCTGTATGTAATTTCTATCGCTTGTTCTCTGTGTTCTAAGTATGTCTGGAACCACCTTAGCGTAACCCCTCATATTCCCATTATTTCCATCTTACTTAGCAATATATCATGATCTACTAGGTTGAACGCTTTTGATAAATCCAAAAATATCCCTATACTCATTTCTTTTTCATCTAGTGCTTTGTAAACCCTTTTTGTAAATTCTGTGATTGCTGTATGTGATGATTTTCATTTGCAGAATCCATGTTGGTTGTTGTTGATTATGCTGTACTTATTTATGAATGATAAAAGTCTATTGTGCATAATTTTTTCGATCATTTTAGAAAAAAACCGAAATTAATGACACTGGCCTGTAGTTCCCAACATCTGCAGTACAACCTTTTTTATACAAGGGTTTCACTTTTGCTATTTTTAGTTGGTCGGGGAAATAACCAGATGAAAATGACAGATTTATAATGTATGTTAGAGCATTTACTAGTTGAGGATGACATTTTTTAATAATGAACTCTGGAATATCGTCGATACCCGTTGATTTTTTGTTACCCAGTATTTCAATTTTGTCTACCACCTCCCTTTCAGTGGTTGGGGTTAAGAACATGCTATTGTGTTGATTCTGTCTTCATTTTTTTGTGCTGTCCGATTGTTACTCCGGATGTGCTGGGCAGTGTTAGTATAGTATTCATTAAAAACATTGGCTATAACTTTTGGATCTTGTATAGTTGTTCCATTCACTCCTAATTCAATGTTCTTTGAAACTTTTTGCTGACTGCCTAATTCTTCTTTGATTAAATCCCACATGGCTTTTGATTTGTCCCCAGATGATGTATTCACATATTGTTACTTAATTTTTTAGCCTGCGATAATTTTGTTCTATATTTTTTTGTACTGGTTATAGTATTTTTTAAGTTCTTCAGATGTGTTTTCTTCTTTAATTAAGCTATGAAGAGTCCTAAGGCTACTTCCTGATACCCTTATGCTTAAGGTAATCCATTTATTTTTTGCTGCTTAATTTTTACCCATATTTTAAGCATAGCTATATTGAGATAGTACTGAAGGATGCCTAAAAATCCACTGTATGCCTCACTTGCCTCATTTTGTTTAAGAACAGGCTTCCAGGTCTCTTTTCCTAGTAAATAGTTTAGATATTGTACGTTTTCCTCACTATAAGATCTAGGTAATCTGAACTCTTTAGTTATTCTGCCTTGTCCATTTTTGTTCTTATAATGCATTTGTACTTGTAGTATTTGGGCATTATGGTCCGATATCCCTGTTTTCACCGCTTTAAAGTTGTATTCCCATAAGCCCTTGTTTAGTATTATTTGGTCTATGGCTGTTTGGCTTTTAGGTCCTATTCTTGTTGGGACATCAACTATTGCTTGCAAGCCACATGAGTAGCATTGTATGTAGTTGTGGATTAACACTTCTTTTTAGAAAATCTACATTGAGATCTCCTGCTATAATAATGTTCTTTCCTTTATTGGTCAGATTGCTAAGTATTGTGTCCAGGTTTTTTATAAATATGTTGATATTGCTACTAGGGGTTCTGTATATACAGAGTATGATAGTATTATATTGTATAAGTTCAATTATGTTGGCCTCAGAGTGTTCTTCTTGATTTAAGCTTTCAAACAGGTTACAGGGTTTTGCATCCTAGATTTGTTTTAATATAAATGCATGAGCCTCCATGCAATTTATTTTTCCTACAGAATTTTGATATCAAGGAATAGTTTTCAAAGTTATAATAATCTACAGTCAACTCTCGATTATCCGGGGGCGGATTAACCGGTTTGCGGCTTAACCGGGGCTTTTTTTTTTAA